GCTTCAAACAACAACTATCCAACCTGGGTTTTTAAATGGGTCCCATGGGACCCCCTTAACCCTGCCACACCACACTATCTACGGGATCTTTATCACCACGATGGCGAGGTGTGGACTTCAAGGTATATTCAAGGTATAAAAGACATTAAAGATGCACAAACATCACTACCTTACTACCAATCACAACCAGGCGCAAATAATGACATAGCATGTTGAGGACAAAAACCATAGAAAAAAGGAACATTTTGATAGGCTCAAACTTATAGCCAATCACGGCTCATTGTTTGCACACACCATAGCACAGCGTACTGATGACGTAACAACTACTTCAAAGATGCTTTTTGCTCTTCTCTCTCTCTCTCTCATGTCCCTTTTGGCTTCCAAGCAACTAATTCATTCCTATGTTGCCGAATTACATGTTCTTATATCCACTCTACCGATATAAAGAAGTCTCGGATTTTTTAAGGAGCTTTAGTTTTCTCGCGAAGAAGCGGGTGTTATGCTGCCTTTTGTGCAGGTAGGATGATAACCTGTGATAAGGGACAATATATTCAAAGCATATTTTGAGATAAATTTTACATTCACTGGCAAATTTTGTCTCCTCTTCTATTCACTTGTAATTTTTATTTGGATGTCAGTGGCAAATTGAGAGTGTGTTAGAGAGAGGGAGAGAGAGACGAGACGAGACGTGACCGGGGGTGAATAAAACCGATAGAGAAAATGCAATGGACCATTATAGATGGAACAGAGAGAGAAAGAGAGAGAGAGAGAGAGAGAGAGAGACGTGAACGAGGGGTGAATAAAAACCGATATAATATAGAAAATGCAACGGACCATTTTAGATGGGGAATAGGGAGAGAGAGAGAGAGAGAGAGATAGAGGGAGAGAGAGAGAGAGAGAGAGAGAATGAGAGAGAGAGAGAGAGAGAGAGGGCGCGCTCGTGTGGAAATACTGTATCCAGTAGAAATGGCACTATACAAATTTATATTATTATGTCTGCATTTTGTGGGAAAAATGTTATATCCTCTGTTAAGGCCTAATATTCGACAGTCGTTATAATATGACCTCTCTATATTTTTCAGATCCCCGTTCAAAGTAATTACGAAACATAATTATCTTGGCTCTGTAATATCGTTGATGAAGATTGGAAGGAAGAAGCAGAAGAGGCGGAGGCCCGGCCTGCCCCCCCCCCACTCAGTGTTATTTAGGGTACGCATATGCGTGTTCCCTCCTTTTGAAAACACCCCCTAAGTCCGGGTTAAAGTCAATTTTGTGTATGTACGAGCCGGACTCTGGTGCGTGAAAAGTACCCCATTACCGGACATTTTGGTAACACGCATGCGGTCATTCCGACCCCGGAGTGGGGGGGGGGGGGGGGGCGGGGGGCGGAGGAGAGGAAGAGCAAGTAAAGTAAGATGAGGAAGAGAAGAAGGGACAAGAGGAGGAGGAGGACCAAGCTCAAGAAAATGTGGAAGGGATGAAGGGAGACGAGGAGGAGGCGGAGGAGGAGGAGGAGAAAGGAGATGAATAGGGGAGAGAAGAGAGAAGGGACCAATTTGGTTGTATATCAGGTTAGGACAAAACTCTTAAAGTTGATACTCTAAGACAATCCCAAATACTGAGATAATTACATAAATAGAAAGCTTTTAACCCCCATAATAACACCAAATGGTGTCCACCCGACAAAACAAGTTTAGAATAATGAATTTATTCGAGTAAACTCTACCAAAATATCTAATACCCCATTCACAGTGGCCTCAAACACCGCGACAGCAGCGGGACTGTCCCGCTGCTGTCGCGGTGTTGTCTTCAGTGTGAAGGCTCGGACCCGTTATAAACTATCGCGGGATAACACCGCCTCGCGATAACGCCGCGACAAACTATCGCTAGGTTCGCCTAGCTACAGCAGCGGGACAGTCCCGCTGCTGTCGCGGTGTTTACTCAGTGTGAAGGCTCTCCGCTATAACACCGCGACAAACACGTGTGATTTGTTTACTTACCTATCACTGACTTTTTTCTCCAGCAATGGGGAACATAAAGTGAAATAGAAATAAAGTAACCAGTGGATTCAAATTGATTTTATTATTATGTAGATATTATAATTATCCAAATAAAAATATTTCACACTTCAAAAAATTAAAATATTCTGACTGGAAGCAATAAAAATGCTAGTTTTTTAAAAAGTAATATGATCGCGCGCAATTTCAAGCAATCGAAAACCCCGCGCTGAAGTATTTCCGGTCATATCGGGGTCACTCGCGGGTCATGAGCCATGCATACACGTGTTTGTTACGGAGGTAATAAAAATCACCCGCTGCAGCGTGAATGGGTACATGATATTTATCCCGCTGCTGCAGCGGGATAACTTTTCTACTGTGAATGCATTTGTAGCGGTGTTATGGCGGTGTCGCCGCTCCGCTACAACGCCGCTACAAATTTCAAAACCACTGTGAATGGGGTATTAGTCTGAAACCCGGAAGTGCACGTAGAGTCGGGCCTCTATCCGTGACGTCACGAACGGGACTTATGGGCTCAGTGAGACTGAGAGTGAATGGCAGTGATATCCCTACGTAAATGCTATCCTGTCAGAGCTTAGATTTTTTGTTGTTAAGGAGTATATTTGAAGGATTTTCTGTTTTCATTTGAATGAGGATAACGAAGCAACATTTTCCAGTCGCTGATTTCTTTTTATATCCTCATATTCACCTATTTGGTAGAGATTTAAGACGAGTTTACTGCTTAGGAATTAAAGTTAAATCGTGCACGTATGAATAGGCGGATGCATTATATTGTCATCAGATAAGGTACAGGAGCAGTTTTGTAAAACGAATAGGTCTAGAACTATGATAGTACTTATCATAGATGTGTGTGACTGCCTCAAAAAAGGATACAGTACCAGTTAAACATTTTATGTTGTAAAATATCAAACTTGAACGAGATCATGCAAGCGCTTCCTCTATAATATTTTGGCGAGTGATGCGGCTCTTGCAAGAACGTTCGTGAAGCGAGCAGAATCGGGAGGTATAAGACCAAGCCGCTGCTCTAGGCGCTGCTTGCTTGTGATGGAACATACGTGCGCTAGTTATATGTTTATCGGCAATTGCAAGAGAATGAAAGCGACGTTGCCAGCTAAGAAAAACAACTAACAAAGACTTGCTCCTGACTACCGGTGTCAGAATTGGTAGATGAAGGATCTTCAGGGCCAAGGAAGGCGAAAGACATGGGAATAAGGAAGAAGAAACCATCGGGAGATCGCTGTAGTGTATGGTAATGAACTGTGCATGGGTAGACAGCTACTGTTCACTCCGTGCCTGGGCCGATTTCAACACCAAAACAAAAATTACATGGTGAAAATATCGACTAATAGCACATCGTTGGCATGTATATGTCATTATTTTTAAAAGGAGAATTGATATTAATACTATGAAGTACTATAGGGGAAGGTAAAGAATTGTACATAGAATTATGATTTATTAGACTTTTCAGCCTTTGAAACAAAAACATGCAGAAAATCGTATCACTCTGCACATGTTTGCTATGGAACATCCGAGTACGTGAATATACTCTTTCCCGGACGTGAGGTCATAAATAGTAGACCAGCGCGGTGACTGATTTTCTATGCAAAGAGAGGCGGATATTTTCAACATTTCAATTGAGGATTTCGAGTAGACAGAATTTTTTTGTGATATACTAAGTAATTGAAAAACTTGAAAATAACATATACTTGCCGTAGGTCACAAATTAAGGGACATTTATTTGCTTAGAGTATCAACTTTAAATATACGAGACGAAACGAGGGTCGGTATTCATATTTTTTGACACTCCTGATAAGTGCTCTTTCCATCTCTAATAACCGCCCCTTTTATTCTGACACGTGCCCCTTTTCTTTCCTAATAAATGCTCTTTTTCCTTCATATAAGTGCCTCTTCCCCTTTTCATGAAAGCCCCCTTTCACCTCCAATAAATGCCGCTATCAAAATCTGATCGGTGCCCCTTTTCTTTCAACAAATGCACATTTCCCTTTATTATTAGTGCCCCTTTTTCATTCTCATAAGTGCCTCTTTTCATAATATGGTCAGTGCCCTTTTTCAGATGCGATAAGTGCCCCTTTTCACTTCTGATAATTATCCTTGTTAACACTGATACGTGCCCCTTTTCCTTTCTTATAAGGAACCTATCCCTCTTTTATAAATGCCCCTATCAAAATCTGATGGTTGACTCTTTTCCGTCGACAAATGCCTATTATCCATTCTCATAAGTGCCTTTTTCATCCCTGGTGAGTGCCCCATTTTTACCTCTGATAATTACCCTTTGTACTTTGACACATGCTCCTTTTATTTTCTAATAAGTGTCGTTTCCCTTCGATAAGTGTCCCCTTTTCCTCTCGTCATTAAACATGCCCCTAATTTCAAGCGACTAAGAGCAATATCTCCCAAAGCTCGCTCGCTACGCTCGCTCACATTTATAGATGTTATAATTATGTTACTTATCAAAGGTCTTTTCAGTCTGCTGTCATGAGAATGTGCTTATTTATAAACCGATGAGGAATGGATTTTTCCTCTTTATAAGATGTAGTTTTCGCACTGCGACCTCACAAATCTTTTTTTTCTTCCTCGCTCGCTTTGTTTGCTCGCAAATGATTTTTTCGACCATCACACCCAACTGCAAGGTTTGATGCTTAAGCAATATTTCATACGATGTATAAAGAGAAACAAATATTGCAATTGTATATTTTCGCTTCGATATTTCCCTTTGTAGGTGTCCCTTTTCCCCCAAGAAATTGCCCTTTTTTTTGGTGCCTCCCCCCCCCCACTTTGGATGTCGCTCTGACGCCTCTGACAGTGGCAACATTTTTCTCGTATGCCTACGGACATTTAATACGTAGATAAGAAAGTCCATGCTTCGAGCGCAAAAACACCATGATATCTTATCTTATAGCGTCACCTAAATAAAGAATAACGTTTTCTCACGGGGCGTGAATGTCAGTGACGAATGTTGTTCGACACGTCATTATTTTGCTGAGGTCCTACGCGTTGACATCTGTCTGAATATTTCTTGTAAGTTTAGTTACAGATTTTATGTTTTTTTAATGTTTTTATGATGTATTCTTGTTCAATGTGTAGTTCTTTTGTAATCCCTACATCTACCAATAATTTGGTTTTGTTCTGGGTTTTGTGCAAGTTCGATCAATTAAGTGATGTTAAAAAATATCAAGATGACAGCCGAACCGGTGGATTGGTTTATATAGATATTGAAAATGGTGGGAGTTTGTATATCGTGTATCGCAGACAACACCGATATTTGCTTTTAAAGAAATTGGATTCTTCCTCAAAAGATCCTATTTGTTTATAAGCTTTTTAATGCAAGAGGTCTTAGATGAATCTCAATCGAAAAGCCACATGTTCTGTGAGAGACAAATAAGTTTAACAGTGTTTGTCAATGATGCTTTTTTTTGGGGGGGGGGGGGGGTTATGAAAGTTATGTTTTAGACCGTTATGTTATCAACGATGTTTTTTTTTATATAAAACTGGCTATAATCCTTTTGATCAATTTTTTCCGAGAGGTATAATGAGACTACGATGAAATGTCGTTCAAAATTTGATATTAGATCAGATGTAGTTTCATTACAAAAAATTATGCTAATGACCCCCACCTCCACTAATATAAAGAGCAAAGAGCCATGCTGCAGGTTTATGTATACAGAAGTTTTGATCGGTCTGTTGTCGGTCTGTTGTCGGTCTTTGTCGGTGTAGTATTTAGCATGGAGAGAAAAGATGAGATAGGGAGGGGGTTAGAGAGAGAGAGAGAGAGAGAGAGAGAGAGAGAGAGAAAGCGAGAGAGAATGAGAGGTTAAGGCAAAATATGAGGGAGAAAAATAGTTAAAGTAAGGAATAGGATGACCATTATAATATCAATCAACCCACAAACAGGTGAACCTCGCAGAGAAGAATCGTTTCCAAAATGGCGTCCCTGATACAGAAGATACCTCTGATGGTGCTTCTCCTGACCGGCTTCGTTTGGCTTTCTGAAGGTCAGTTCTGCACGAAATGTCCCGATTATTGGATGAAGGTCGGTGAATATTGCTACCAATACTTCGGCAATAAAAGGACATGTCACGACGCTGAGAACATTTGTAATCGAATTGGAGGAGACCTGCCCAGCATCCGAAACGAGAAGGAAAGTAACACCATCTACCAGCTATGGAAGGGTCTCGTTAATCATCCCACTCAAAAGGAATCTGTAAGTGCAACGTGCTTCAGTGGTGGATCCAATATTCTCTGGTGTTGGATGGGGTTGGTGTTGGGGAAGGGGGGGGGGGGAGTGTCACAACTGTGAACAAATCTGTGACAAACAATCAATTTTGATATACACAGGACATATTGTGTTGTAAGTAGTTACCATTCCTTTACAAGTAAAACATTATTATACAAAAACGTCGCGGCTTTACTCATTAAACTACACCATCCCTCCTAAACAGGCATACTGGATCGGTCTCCGTGATACCAACCAGGAAAACAAGTTTGACTGGACAGATGGCACCCCTGTAGACTACTATAACTGGCAGCCTGGACAACCCGACAACTGGCAAAACGAGGACTGTGTTGAAGTCCGCAACGTTGGCAACAATGACTACGAACGACAGCGCTGGAATGATAAGGGGTGCAGTACCGCTCGAGCCTTCTTTTGCCGTATGCCGCTCAACTGAACGTCAGAGATCCAATGTCGATTATCACGAAGGGGGGGGGGGGGGGGGGGTAGAAAGACAACTTTTTGTTTTAGTTTCCCTTTTTAATCTTATCTGCTAGTTAAGGCGAAAGCTAGTCAGTTTCAGGTAAAATTGTTGACGGGAACCATATAAATTTTGAATTATTTTGATCGTCAGCTGTACATTAGACCTGCGGTCTCTATAAAAAATATATGCTGCATTCGATCTCTACACGGGATACACGCGCCTGACTCGAAATTCTTTCATTTATCCATAATTTTCATCTGATCTTTTAGTTTTTGTTCTCTAAAAAAAGATACCCTATAGAAACAAACATAGACAATTTTTGGCTAATTTCGGCTAACGCGCCCCGCCACAAAATCCGACGTTTCAGTAAAACCTTTCATTTTTTATTTGAAGCACTTCTCTACTGTATCAAATTAAAGTCGCCCCTTTTTGAGGTTTACATCGAAACACTCGATTTCAGTTTTGATTAGGATTTGAAAGCAAAATATATTTCGGGCTTTCAGCTGGCCATTCACCAGACAAGTTTGAATTTAGTAACCTAACTTAAAATTATCATCATACATTAGTGCTTTATTCGTTGTTTTTATCTGCTTGTTGTACCGTATTGATAAAGCCTATACCAGGGACTTTGGCAAAATCAAATCAAATATTTTGAAGACTAACAATGATATCATCATATGCATTAACTTATTTCTGTGTATTCTGTATCGTACTTGGTACGTGGAGATGACAAAGTGATGCAGAGGATAGAAGATTAAACATAGTACTGAAGATTTTTAAAAAGAAGAAAGAAAGAGAGAGAGAGAGAGAGAGAGAGAGAGAGAGAGAGAGAGAGAGAGAGAGAGAGAGAGCATAACTGTGAGGGGTATCTGAAAAATAAAGAGCGGTCATAATTATTATAAGGATTGTCGATTACTAGGCCTACACAACGACAGTAACTTTTGTCTCACAAAATAATATTCATTCATATTGTGCCATTGCTACTGGATACAGCGTTTCCTAAAACACACACACACACACACTTTCTCTCTATCTCTACCTCTCTGTCTCTGTCTGTCTATGTCTGTATGTCTCTCTGCCTCTTCCCTCAATTCTATTACATTTTCTCTGTCGGTTTTATTCTCCCCTCTTCCACCACCCTCTCTCTATCTCTTTCTTTCTATCTCTGTCTGTCTATTTCTGTATGTCTCTCTGCCTCTTCCCTCAATTCTATTACATTTTCTCTGTCGGTTTTAATTTCCCCTCTATCTCTCTCTCTCTCTCTCTGTCTCTCTGTCTCTCTGTCTGTCTGTCTGTCTCTCTCTCTCTCTCTCTGTCTCTCTCTTTCTCCCTCTCTCTCTCTTTCTCTTACACTCTCTTAACTTGCCACTGACAGCAAAAATAAAAGTGAATAGGAGAGGAGACATAATTTGCCAGTGAAGGTGAAATTCATCTCAAAATATGCTTTGAATGTGGTATATAGAGCCCTCCCCCTATCCCAGGTTATCATCCTACCTGCACATAAGGCAGCATACCAACCGCTTCCTAGCGAGAAAACTTAAGTTTCTAAGACTATCCGAGACATGTTTATATCGGTAGAGTGGATATAAGAACATGTAATTCGGCAGCATAGGAATGAATTAGTTGCTTGGAAGCCAACAGGAACATGTGAGAGAGAAGAGCAAAAAGCGTCTTTGAAGTAGTTGTTACGTCATCAATACGTTTTGCGCTATGATGACGTGTGTGCAAATATCGAGCCGTGATTGGCTACAAGTTTGAGCCTATCAAAATGTTCCTTTTTTCTATCGTTTTGTCCTCAACATGCTATGTTATTATTTTCGCCTGGTTTTGATTGGCGGTCAGGTAGTGCGCACGTGATGTTGTTTCTTCATATAAACCGTAACAAATTTTCTTTTATTTCTGAGATGTTGATATTCAGGCAAGAAGCGTCAATTCCAGTGGCAAAAATGTTTAATTTAATACGTAGATAAAAGAGTCCATGCTTCGTGCGCAAAAATCCCGTGGTATCTTATCTTATGGGGTCACCTGAATAAAGAAGAACGCTTTCTCACGGGGCATCAATGTCAGTGTCGAATGTAGTTCGAAACGTCATTATTTTCAATCATTCACTGAATTCCCCCCCGGTCCCCAACTTAATTTTTTTTTTGTCTGTGTGCCCATGCCTTGAGCCATAATGCATGGTCGTAAAGAGGATTTTTTTATGTTGGGGGCCGGGGGAAATGCAATGAATTATTGAAAATTTATTGCATTTTCTTTGTTTTTTTTAATTTGTGGGAACTGCCCCCTACCCTAGCCCCCGCTGCATACAGTCATGGTTCAGTGGCCAAGCAATGGCCTCGTAACTGTGAGGCCCCAGGATCAAAACTGTGTCACTGTGCTATATTAGTGCCCTTTTGTGGGGCATTCATCCTCATTACTGTCATTTATGAAGAATGGATAAGCTTGAGAGCAAAACCTGTAATACCAAAATGGTCTTCAAGACGATAAGGCAGAATCATATGGTCCACTGTGTCAAACGCAGCAGACAAGTCAAGCAGCACCATCATTACTCCTTTCTGACTGCCAATGTCTTGAAGTAAATCAGTCTGAATGTTAAGTAGTGCTGTTTCAGTGCTATTAAGTTTAGCCGCGAGCTCAGAGGCAAATTCTGGCGGGAGGTATCTGAATTTCAAAGGGATAACCATATTTCTAGAAAGTTAAATTTCTGCCCTTTCAAAATGACATCTCAATCAGGAAAAATGAGCCTGGAATAACAAAGTTCTGATTGTTTAAAGTAATGCTTGCATTTCCATAATTTGATTAAACGAATTCGTCCATGCATCAAGCCGTTCGTCTTCTGAGCATGGCTGATTATCAACTCTGTTTGTTGCTACGACAATAAGCCAGTGAAAATGAATTCGTTTTATTAAATTATGCCTTCAGAGGTTTAGATGGCAATGCTTCAACCTAAATTCGCAACAAAAAAAAAGCAGAAACATATGCCCAAATGTTCAATTTTGAAGTGCATTCGCGATATCTATCCAGGCCGGATCGATCTGATAGTTTACCAAAAATATCAATTAGTGGGCGATTTCCCGGCAAAATTTGTATCATCACGTATTAGTCAAACCATATACCACCCAGATATTATCGGGTATTTTGTGATTTTCCACTACTCAACGTGTGAAGATGGGCGCGGTTATTATATTGGTTTCATAAGATGATATGACGCAATTAAACCTTCAGATAGTCTTCGACTCTATTCTGACTGAGGTTCATCACCGCACTTTTAATTCATAATCTTATTTTCTAGACCATTTTGCGCGAATTTTTCATTTTTCATTGAGCCTTGATGGAAAAGGTAATAATGCCTTTAAATTTATCATTTTTTTTCTTCTCGTAATTAAAGTATGTCGAGAAAAAAAATTGATTGAAATGTGGACACTTTTGTAAGCAACAATACAAACACAGGTGGTTGCTTTCTTATTAATTTTAATTTCTTGCTATTTATTTTTCCCATGTTCACGGCCTCAAGCACAAAAGACTGCTAACCTTCGAACAACAAAGGGTTCTCACCCAGATTTCTATATATATAGGTTTTTTCTTGCTATGTGTTTCTTCCCACGGTAACGCACAAAAGATTGCTAGCCTTCAAACAACAAAGGGTTCTCACCCAGATGTCTATAACATAGGATTTGTTCCCCTTACATCAGTTTTAAAAATCCAGGCACCGTTAATAGTCGCTGTTCATCATTTTTGTTTATTCATCATCCCATCTGGCATATTTTCCTGGCATTTTCCATCATTTGTGTGTTTGTTGAGATACAGAACGGTCGCAATGTTTTCGTTCCCGTGCATCCTTCTGTCGTGTTTCGCCGTCGCCGTTGTGACCGCTCAAGAAAATGGCAAGTGTTAGTTCTTTCATAAATGGATACTTGGATAATTTAATTAAATTCAAATTCTGTTTGTGACATTGATTCTAAATTTATTTAAAAGGTTTGTAACTCTGAAACAGAAATTTCCCATGGCAGTGGGTTCATAATTCCGAAAATAAAATAGGGTTCATTTTACGGAATCAAGGTTCGTTCATGATTCTGAAAATGAAATAGGGTACATAATTCCGATAACAAAAAAGGGTTCGGTCTCCCGAAGAATCGTTATTAAATTAAAAAAAAAAAAATTGGCTTTCATTTTCGGAATTATAAACCTTCGGGATTATGATTCCTATTTCATATTCGGAATTAGGAAACTTTGGAGGAACGAACCTTCGGAAATACAAACCTGTGAAATTATACATCCTTCCGTGTAACGAACTTTGAGAATAACTAACTTTCGTATCAACCTTAGGACATTGCAACATGTAACCGGGTCTTATGCAGGCTTTCAGAACTGAATCACTTTTTTGGTGTCATGTCTGAGTATACCGGTTAAAAAATGCAATATAGCCTGAATGGCTTTCACCCCTTTTAACTTAAAACATAAATCTGCCTTAAATGTTTAACATTCCAAATAATTCCAAAGAAGATTTAATTAATGTATGATACCGGATTTTTATGATTTTATTAGGACTTACAGGGTTAATTGATGTTTCATTGAATGAGGACAATCTTTAATGGTACAACTTTTGTTGTTGTAAGCTATCATGGTCAGTATACGGGTGTATGGAAACATGTTTGGTATGTCCGGTATAAGAGGCGTCCGATAGTCTTCTTCTTCTATAATCTATAATAATAATACGAGAAGCTCCATGGGTCCGATTGTGGGCGGTCCGATGACGTATTTCGCGTCGAAACGCGTCGATCTGCGTCACTTAACGAGGGTCCGGGCTCGACGTCGGGAGAGCTATCTCCTCCCGGACGACGGGTCGAGGGGGGGCGGGACCCGACCTGGGGGACGAGGAATTTTTTTCTACATGGCAACGGCCGGGTTTTTACCCATTCTGTCCCGCCATCGACCAGGAAATCGTAAAAAAACGATGTGACACGCTCATGAATATTATGCATGACCTGTTGCATGCATGCATGAGCCTCGAACTGTTTCAATCCATTGCCCTTAAAAAATTGTTTTTATTCTAATTTGATATTATTTTAACAAAAAATATTCAACAAAAACGAATGTGTTTTTATTCTGTTTATACAGTCAATAACAATTTGATAAAACGGAGATATACAATCACGCAAAAGCAACGAGCTAGCTTATACTTTTGAGCAGCACAGTCCGACCTTGATCTATGAATTGTCTGCCAAAATCAGAAATAAACATTTTGTGTTTGATTTCTTAGCAAATACATGACATGATAATAACAAATTTTGGTAATATATTTTTACAATCCTGATTAGATTTATATTGAATATACGCAAAAAGTAACAAAAAGAGGTACGTACGTACCATCTCTATGGTACGTACGTAGTACATGCATGGACTTCGGCTGTTCTGTACATGCATTGTTCTAATTAATAACAAGTGTGCGCCCGAACTGTAACTCCATGTATTACTTATTCATGTTCATATTCAGTAAAAGCAATAACAGGACAGAGCCACAACAATCACCTCAGCGTCATCTTAAAATGGCCAACAAAATATACATTTACAATGTACTAGTATACATTAGTTTTTGTATCGAACTCGATACTGGATTTCATTTTTTTTCCGTAACATTATTTTATTTTATATATATTACGTGGTGTCATTACAGGAGGATAACACAACCATAACCTTCTCTAACGTTATTACGTACGCCAAGCCTGGTTCGGAAGATGGTACGGCAATCACCCGTAAATATCACATGCAGGTTCGGGACGAATGTTGCCTCAAGAAAGAGGAAGTCATCAGTGGGTCCTTCAGACCACAGCTTGGTGAGGTGTCCTTTAGCGACAAGGGCTCTGGTGACTTCAGTCTGAGACTCGAAAGGTTCCAGACAGATGCTTTTGATGAAAGTGAATCCGAAACCACCTCCGTTGTCGGGAAAGGAGATGACCTCTACTTTGGTGTGTATCTTGAGTCGGTACCAGGCGTTGGTATGTTTATCGACAGCTGCTGGGCGACAACCACTCAAGACTCAGACGCAGAGCCACATTACTCTCTAATTTCTTCAGGGTTAGTAGAACTTTTCATGAGCCTCAAGAAAAATATATCATATAGTGATGGGATAGTGGTTCATTCACTTGACTCTTAATCCAAGGGTTAGAGTTTCCAATACAAGTCCGGCGCTTAGGTCTTTTGGCAAGACATTAATCCACATTTGCCATTCTCCACCCAGGTGTTATTCGGTAACTGGTTTACTGCTGGGTAATGATACTTTGAAGGCCCTCAGGAAAATTGGCATTGATGCTGATGAGGCTTCTTGCCTTACTTCGTTCTGCCGGGTGTTCAAGTCGGGTTCCACAATCTTTCTTAAAAAGTAACCTCAAAATTACGAAAAGTCGTGTGCTTCATGTTGTCGGGTTAAACGATATTTTGTGAAAATATCCCCCAATGGTCAGGTAAACTTAATGCAAATAATCATGTTTTCAAAGATGCTCTTTGAGATACCGATACAGAATACAAAATAGTACAATGAATATTAGTGGCAAAAATATTCAGTCCTGACTGATTGCCAAACAAATATGAATAATATTTCAACAATAACGAGGATTCGACCGCTAGCCTTTTTTTAAAAAGAATGTATGTAACCCGTATTAAAAGTGCTGGGCCGAGATACAAGTTTTCTTAGATTTGATGTAGGTTTTTCAGAGTGTCTAGTAAACTAGACGCAACACTTTGGCGTTGGGTGGGAAGCATTTCACAAACATTATACCTGACCCTTGGGGATTCACGACTTGATTTTTCACGAAAGTTTGTGTAAACCGAAGACGCAATGAACCGATGGAACAAATAAGCTAGGCTTCTATGGGTAAACAAAGTTAGTAGAAGTAGTGGTAGTGGTGGTAGTAGCAGTAGTAGCAGTAACAATAGTAATCGTTGTTGTAATCATAGTACAAATTGTACACATTTTTGGTGTTGTTATTATTATCATTATTATTACTACGATTAATATTGTTCTTCTTCTTCAACTATATTTCATGATTTCCGGCCGTTCTCCCACGGCTATGACTCCTGCTAACTCGAGTACATGTTTCGATTGGTTCTACAGTTGCCCGGATGATGAAACAGTTGCTATCTATCGTCTCCTTGGATTGAATCGAGAAGGCTTTTCTTTTAGTGCATTTGCCTTTGTTGGAGATTACACTGAGGTGAAATATTTACATGGAATGAACTTATACACCTAATTTTATTACAATTTTGTTTGCCAATTTCATGAGAATGGAAGAAGAAAACTAAGCTGTAGGATCTAGGTCTTAGATAAGTCATGTCTGCCCTGTCTCTTTTGGCTCAGTAATTACCTACATGTAAATGAATCGCAAAGTCTTGAACACATTCACTGAGCTCCATGGGATAGGATATAGAAACTTGAATCGTATTGCACTTCACGTCATCTTATTAAAGCCTTTTTTTAAAGCCTTTTTTTAAAGCCCTTTTTTCATTTTGGATCATAATTGCCCACCTTCAAGGGGAATTGCACCCTGATATGACTTTGGTTTTAATGACAGCAGAAAAATTAGACTAACAAAAATAAGTGAAAATTTGAGCAATATCCGGTTAAAAATAGGAAAGTTACGGTATACAAATTTTTGTAGTTATCTTCAGTGAAACACAAATTGTGAGGTACCTTGCGAGCTCTCCTCCATTTTGCTCTATACATAGACTTACATAAACTTTCATTTTCTTAGTTATTGATGACGGAATAAATATGTTTCATACAGGGGTTTATAAAAACATATTTGTAATTATCATATAGAGGGCAAATGTATGGTTTGAAATTTCTGAAGATAAATTTAGATTCTTGACGTTTTTTAATACATGGAAAATGGGAGGGGACCTCACAACTTGAGATACATCAAAGAGAAGCCAATTTTTTGTTGAATGCACCTTTAAAAAATTCCTAACTTCCTTATCTTTAATTGTTTTTTTCACTGATCCATTTCTCTCACCTTTTCTGCTTCTATTAAAACCAACTTAAAGGGATAATTGAGTTCTGCTGCAGAGGGCGCTACACAATTTTTGTGTGTGAGATAATGAAAAACTTGAATGTCAAATTTGAAAGAACATACAATTTAAATGATAAAATCATCTTTATTTGATCAAAATCGGTTCAGAGACGGCAGGAATATCCATTTCTAATATTTGTGTACCACCACAAAATTAGATAATTTGAACCAGCCGTTGAAAAAACGAAGTAGCGCATTATACGTTTTGTTCCAGCCAATGAGATGTTGGCGTTTTGGGCTTTTTCTTATATGTTATAATACGCACAACGAGCCGACCCTTGTATTGTTATTATTAATTAAGTAATTGATTAACGGTCACCGTATTTTGAGGAAAGTAGAGCTGAATTGGTATGATCGTATTGGCTAAATTTCACACATGTTGGATCTAAAAATACCTTCATAGTAATTTTAGGTCCTAAAAGGGCAATAGAAATGTCAAAAAGAAGAATAAGAGCAATAACCATGCCTTTTGAAGGCATTTGCGGTCTGAAACAAGAACCTCACTATCCTTTTAATATCAGGGCGGAATTCCCTTTAAAAATTAGGACAAATTTAAAAGCAAATTTGTTTGGATATTTAATGCATGCATCATCACATAATGTTTTCTCAGGTGTACATTCACTGTTCAGTGAAGGTCTGTGGTGCCGCGAAGGCTCAATCGTTTCGAGACGCAGGATGCCCCTCAGAATCTCCACCTCCCGACCGCAAACGTCGATCTTCGTCCGTTATGTCCACTCAGACCATCAGTAATGGTCCGATTTACATCCGTCGCTCAACCAGCGATATGGCTATAGGTATGTACTATTTTGGAACAACAACCATTTAAAAAATCTGAAAATGTAACATTTTCCTCATAGATAGCTTAGCACGTACACTCAGTTATGATAATTCTTGACACAAATAAGGATTGCAATATCTGAAAATATGCCATTAGCAGATACTCTCTTCTATTTTCTACTTAAAGGTGGAGGGGACGGGGACGGGGAGGAGGGGGACGGGGAGGAGGGGTACGGGAAGGAGGGTCGTTTCCTGTTCCCTTGGATACGCTTGTGAATATATCTAATCCACATCCAATTGTTCTACCATATTTTATCTTTTCCAATGCTCACAGATTTGTCTTCCTACAACCCTCTTGCCATGCTCCTCCTTGGAATGATAGCAACATTGGTTGCTATGGTAATCCTGATGGGTGTGGTCAAGCTTGTTCGTATCTCATCCGATAACAATTACTATCAGCGAGTTCCAATTGCTGAATCCATGGAAGGAATTTAGATTAAAGCTCTTTGGAAGCGCATAGAGATGTTATTTCATAACGTATTATGCGCTATACAAGAATTAAACTAATAAACAAAATAAAGAGCAACCATCAGCTCCAAAAGCCATAGTATGGAAAATAACCTCCATCTTTATCGATCATTGATTTGAAATCGAAACAGGACATCCCACAACGTCGTTTTATTCTGACATACAAACAGGGCCCCTTACTACCCAAAAGAACAACAAGGGGGACACTTCATATCGTTAACATTTTTCATATAAACTGTTAATAAATTATACTAAAGAAACACAAATTTGTCTAGAATATGGCGTCCCCCAGGCTCTGTGATCGGCCCTCATTGCTTTAACATATACCTTCAGCCAGTGATATATAGATATCTTACATTAATATGATGTCTTATCAAACCATATTTACGGCGACTACAATCTCTTCGCATATTAGGTGTTAGCTTTGACAAGCATATGAATATTTCAAATTATGTTTAAAATGTAGGTGTTAGCTTTGACAAGCATATGAATATGTCGAATTATGTTTTAAATGTAGGTGATAGCTTTAACAAGCAGGAATATGTGAAATCATGTTTTAAATGTAGGTGTTGGCTTTGACAAGCATATGAATATGTGAAATCTTGTTTTAAATGTATAGGTGTTAGCTTTGACAAGCATTATTATGAATATGTCAAATCGTTTTAAATGTACGTGTTAGCTTTGACAAGCATATGAATATGTCAAATTATGTTTTAAATGTAGGTGTTGGCTTTGACAAGCATATGAATATGTAAAATCTTGTTTTTAATGTAGGTGTTAGCTTTGACAAGCATATAAATATGTCAAATTATGTTTTAAATATAGGTGTTAGCTTTGACAAGCATATGAATATGTCAAATTATGTTTTAAATGTAGGTGTTAGCTTTGACAAGCATATGAATATGTAAAATCATGTTTTAAATGTAGGTGTTGGCTTTGACAAGCATATGAATATGTCAAATTATGTTTTAAATGTACCAAAATATGTTATTTCTATTTACGTAACCTCAGTAGAATAAGGAAGTTCGTATATACAAAGATTCATCAATGTAGTTTTAAGATCTCTTGTTTAGTCTGGTGTAGATTAGTGTAATTCGCTTCTATATTGCTTATGATCTTAACCCCCCTCAGCTCCCCCAACATAAAGCACCACGGCTCATTCATTGGAAACAACAGAATGTAAACGTCTCACCTCCCATCACTAATCTTCACTCGCTGCGCGTTCTTGGTCGTATCATACAGAAGACCCTCTCATTTACAAGTGTTGAATAGGACAGTTAGATTTGCACGTCGACATAGTGGACTGCTATATACGTGTCACGTCCTTTTAAGGCACTGTGATTTCCTTTTAAGGCACTGTCGCGTCCTTTTAAGGAACTGCCATGTCTTTTTAAGGCACTGTGATGTCCTTTTAAGGCAATGCCAGTGCCTTAAAAGGACGGCACACGCAGCGGTCCACTAAGTCGACGTGCAAATCTAAAAGTCCCTAATCAGGCCAAAGCATACCCAGGTGATCTATTCCGTTCGCACACCTGCATGACACGATCAGCCAGTACTAAAACACTTACCGTCCCTCTAACGAGTAAACAGTTTTCGTTATTGCTCCCAAAACCCAGAACACCTTCCCCCGTCTTCGAATCGCCATACTCTCATACTTTGGATAGTTTCTGCGCTCTATAAATGTATTATTATTATTATTATTATTATTTCTTTTTAGTAGTGTTTTTCTATTTTTTTTCTTCTCGATTTATAGTTAATGTAAGTTTCATATGATAATGTTTATTTTTGTTTGTTAGTAGTTTTTTCTGTTTATGCGCCTTGTATCTAATAAAAGGCGCTTTACAAATGTATTATTATTATTATTATTATTATTATTATTATGTAATATTATTATTATTATGTAATATTATTATTATTATTATGTAATATTATTATTATTATTATGTAATATTAATGAAAATTTAGTTCTCTACCGTCGGTAGTTATTTGAAAATCTTATCCATAAATAGTATCCAATTTCACCTTTTGTTTTTGAGTGTTTTACTACAACTATTACTACTACTATTATTACTAATCTTTATTGAAAGGGGCAGCTTTTATAAAAGAGAGTGATATAACCCAGAACAAAATAAATAAGATCATAGAAGTAAAGAATCTTGTATTTATTGGTCAGTTTTGTTTTGTATCGAACTCATGATTTTTAGAAAACCTTTGTTTCAACTAATTATTGACCTCGAACCTTGTTAAATGGATAGTTGAGTTTTGTTTTCAGACCGCAAATGCCTTCAAAGTGCATGCTTATTGCTCTTATTCTTATCTATGACATTTCTAGTGCTTTTTATGGGGACCAAAATTGCTATGATGGTACTTTTAGACCCCAAAATGTGTAAAATTTATCCAATACGATCATACCAATTCAGCTCCACTTTCGAAAAAAATACGGTGACCGTCAATTAATAAATAAATTAATAATAACAATACATGGGCCGGCTGGTTGTGCGTAATATACCCAACACGACAAAGCCAACAAGAACAAATCCAACATCGGCATTGGCTAAAATACAACATAAAAGGCGCTATTTCGTTTTTTTATCAAAGAGATTCGATCATACACAGTATGTCCTCCGTAGGAGGACTAGAGGGCCAACTAAAATCATGACCTTTGACATTTCATAGGTTTTGCATTGGATGCATTATGGGGGTTTTGTCCGATTTGAACGACGGTTTTGGAGGGTCAATGAATATTCATGAGCAATGACGTAAAAAATACGCCAACTACTGTTTGTTGATTGGCCATCGACAAAATGTTTTATGTATTAGGTCATGCATAAAACATTTTTTTCATTCCCAGAATTCCCTACGATTTGAGCACGAAAATGGCGGTTGTATGAACTGCAACTTTCAAGTTATTCAATTACGAACAATGAAACATTTTTCTTTTAAGTGAATTTCTATTATAATAGAAGTTTGTCAAGTACATCTCAGTGAAGCAGAAAATCTTCAGGCGAACATTGACATCGAAGTGATACCCTATGATATCAAGAAAAGTAAGTAAAGATCCATTTTGTGTGAAGGTCTCTGAAATGATTGTGATGTGTTCGTCATTGCAGTGAGCGGCTCTCCGCATTGTCACAACGTATTAACCGGTTAACCCCCTACCCCATCCTCTTTTCTTTCTTCTGACCAAAGAATATTAACTAATTGAATGAACTCTAATTTAAGTCATCGACGCTAATATTTTTAGAAACAATCAGGATTTTACCGTAGGTTATTTCATTAGAGCACATCTCATAATTTTAAGTTCAGTTCATAGCTTGATTACCGATAGTAATCGGTCGTAGATGTGGACCTGTTGGAGACTGCGCAAATGGCTCAGTGCTAGTCCAAGCCGATGAGATCTCGTCGAGCGGTTTATGATCTTCAATCCGCCGGTTCTAGCCGGCTGTAACACTCCACCAAGAAGCGACTGCGTTTCCTGAGCTGGCGCGGCTATAACTTACAGTGTGTTACTGTAAAGCCTAGGGCTAGGCTAGTATTCATAGCATAGTCTGGCCTGAATTTTCTGTCTCTTTTGTTCGTTAGCCTCTGATTTGGGTAGGGTCGGCTCCTCTCTTCAGCCGACCCTACCCAAATCAGAGGCTAACGGACGAAAGAGACAGAAAAATTCGGGCTAAGCAGAGCCCAAGCAGAGCCTAGGGCTAGGCCTAGATCTAGATCTAGGTCTAGAGTCTAGTCTAGATCTAGATCTAGATCTAGCACTTAAATATAAACAGCATTTAACCCGCATCTAGTATAGGCCTAGATCTAGGGCTAGATTCTAGGCCTAATGCATTCTAATAAAGAAAGACTAAATAAATGCCTGGTGTAGCACTGTAGGTGGATCAAATAAATGATGTGGAAGTTATGGAGAGAGGGGGGGGGGGGGGGTGTGCACAATCATTCTGTGCCCCCTTTTTCAGATGTGGCATAGGGATGGGTCTAGATCTAGGTCTAGAGCCACCTACTAATAATATTAAAAATAGGCAATTAGATCTAGATCTAGCTTGTGTTATGCCATAGCAAAGAATTCCATAGCCATGGGTCTAGTCTCGTTTTTGCTCCACTAGACTAGACTAGTCGTGCACATGTGTCATTATTGTGATCCAGCTCCAGATTCAGCTTAGTTTGAATGTAGATCTACTACTAGGATAGATCTACCATCAACAACAAAAACAAAACAAAAAAGGTGTCTCCTCCCCCCCCCCCCCCTCCCACTTTCCCTGATTTTGCTCTTAGTTATGTCATTGTGCCTTGTTTGAAATAATTAGTTTATTTTCAGGATTTTATGCCACCCCTTTTAGTTTTATGTTGGTGAGAATTCTAGATTCCAACCCTACATATGATATGGATATTTCTTTCTCTATTAAAGGACATGAACAAAGTTATAAATTGATAACTAATGCATGCATTTGATATTAGCAGGAACCTTACTAAGTTTATGTTTTCTTTAAATTGTAGATCCTATGGAACAAAGAAGCAGATAATGATCACACAAGTGCAACAAAGCGCACCAGGACCTGATCATCAAATGTTATGGTGTAGATCTAATCAGGAACAGGACACCTAAGTTGAACTCTGGCAAGGTATGTTTGTATAAAGTTCGAAAATATTCAGGCTGTATAATCTAAGCCCATGCGAACACCGCACTCGACTTTGACTATATACAAAGATTTGGGGAACTGCATTATATCTAGTAATTCTCATTTATTCTCTAGCTTTTTATTTAGGTGACAAACTATGGTGTTGCTACAGTTTATTCTCTAAGCATATTAAAAGACGTACCCAAAGGCATTTTCCCCTAAATATTACATTATATCTAACAAACTTTTGTTCACAAAAGTCTAGCAAATAATAACTTAAAATAAATTGGAAATTACTTTCAAAATAATTGGAAATACATCTAAACCTTTGCTCTTCTTTTCAGAAAG